TAAAGACAGTGCATATACACATACGCCACATATAATATAAACTATGATTTATGATTATATTTGATAAAGTTAACAGTGTTCAAGTATAGTAAAGACACTTATATACATAATTCATATATATATATATATATATATATAAGTCGTTAACTCGTATTTGTTTGAATGCAAAATCTATTAACCCAACAAATATTGGGCAATATTGTGTTTAAGTGGTTATGTTGCTTTTGGGTCGTTCCTGTGCCATTAGTCGTTTTAACACATCAATCAATAATTGTCGGGACTGACACATAAATATCGTCTCTACTACTAAAACTAAAAATGTTTTTTTTAGAAAATGCCATCATTCAAACAACGTATGCCGAAATTCGATTGATATCTGGATTGAAGATTGCTTCTTGAGAGGAAAAACAGCATCTTTCCAACTTAGCGTTCGCGTAAAACGGTATTGCGAAAGCTATTCATCTTTGGACGCAGCAATTTGTTTCTTGTTTGTTGATTCTAAGTGCACAGAAAGCACTGGATGCGTAAAAGGATAGGATAGGCTATGTCGGAAGGCGTACAAAAAATTCTGAAATTTACATTCGATTATCGAAAAGTGAATATGTAAGCGGCAACTGACGTCGAAAGCTGACAGCCACAGAGGAAGTATTTTTTTTTTTTTAAATGAATACAGTTTCTGCTCACAGCGGATCAAAGTGATCAATTATCGAGTGGATAGATAAATGACTACTATTGCAAAATGACATGAATTGAAATTCGAATTAGAGCCCCATCCAATGTTGAAAGGAAGCTTCAGCGAAATGATGAAATGACTACACTGACAAATCGTTCTATAAAAAAATCGTTGAAATTTCAGAATAATAGTTTTGGAATAAGCGTGGTATCATGCTTAAAGCAGTGCATGCTGATGAATAAATATAAATTTTCTTGTTCCTAGTCTTGGGAATTATTGATCGATATTAATCGTTTAATAATGTGAAGGCTGTTGAGATAAACACGTACATTATTATATTCATATTCATAGTCGTATTCATATGGATGTGTGTCTTTTGTAAAAAATAATAGCCACAAACTTTTCCTTTTGTTACGGACCTTTGCATTCTTGGCGTGGACTATAACATTTATTTTGGGTAATAGTGTCTTCATGTAGTAGAAGACCGCTTGGACTTTCCTTTCGTTTTCAATCTTTAATTAGCCATAGTCTGTAGAAATCATGCAAATTGTACAGAGAGTCCTTATTGCAATAGTTTAATAGGACAATGTCTTAATCTTTATGGTCATTAACAGTTAACCTATCTATTGGCAGCTGCGAGAGACCTCACATTAAGCTTAAAATGCCGGCTGCGTGATATCTCGTAGTTTGTGCGCTACAAGCTTAAATTGATATTATAAAATCTTGACACGCGGGGCAAGACGGTGTAAATTTGCTTGGCAACGAATGGGTCAAGCAGTTTAAAAACCTAACTGAGAGAACTGATATTAATTGAATTAATTTCCGAGGAAGTTTTCGTGAAAAACTTCTACATACATATACAATTTCTATATATATAATATATTGATAAACTTTTAACACATACAAACACACACACGCGCACACACACACACATACCTTAGAGGATTTTTAACTGAAAGGAAGTAAGAATTTTATGCTTTATGTTTGGTTTCAGGGAAATACTTCGTAAAAAGAAAGACTTTAAAAAAAAAAGAAAACAAATCAAAAAGATATACTTGCCAAAATATGAGATATATGGAGCGAATGTTAGTATGTTAGATGGAAGATCTGTCTCAAGAAAGTATATAAATCTAAATCTAAATGACATAACATTTCGTTTAGAGCTGATGCGAATCGGCCAAAACTTTAACATGGATAGCTATGGAATCGAAGTTTTGCGTCTATTTGTAAACTTAATCTATAAACATAGCTCAATAATCTATACACAGATTTCCGTTTTCTGGGTAACAGAAAGGAAGGAAGGACGCATAGGTAAACAAATGGATATCAATCTCATGCATGCATACTTTAAGGATTTGCTTCTTCTAATAAATTTTCTATTAAGAAATTCATATTTATACATATATATATATATATATATGTATGTAAATAATCTTTTCATTTTCATTACGAGGTTTCGTCTCTAAGCTAAAAACGCAAAAAAAAAAACAACAAAAAACTGTTAAAAAATTGTTTTCATACAATTGTGATAGGCTTGGAGCCTAAGCTGAAAATAATCCTTACGTACAAGCAGAAGAGGAAAGTGAATGTATCTGGGGCACGCAAATGTTAATAAACCTAACAAAAACACTGATGACTGACTCTCAATTATTTTATTTTGACTAACTTAACGTATGCGTATGAAAATCTCTGAACTAGGATTTTCGAGAGATTATAAATAATCTCTATTCTTCTATTCTTCTATTCTTAACTACATTTGCTTTCTTTTTCAAAATTCTTCGGTTTTTCATCAAAATTGTAAAGAAAATGTTGATCCAAATTGAATTTTTGAATAAAATTCATTTATGTAATTAAATTAATTTCGTAATTTTGTTTTTGTTTTTTGTTTTTTTGTCGAGAATGCATTTCCCATTATTTAAGGCTTTTAACCTTCAGTTAACTAAAGTGTAGAAAAGTTTAACAATAAATAATAATAATAATAATAAAATAAAATAAAAATTAACATAACAATCATTTTAGTAGTGTGGAAGTGGTTACATACAACAGCTCTCCATTTACACATTTACACATATGTATACAAATATCTCTCTCGTACATTTCATTTAAACTTCCGTATAAAATATCATTATAAATTACAGTTGAAATGTGATGGAATAATTTTGTTTTTTTTTTTTTAAACATGCTGACGGCGTTCGGTGGTCGTGCGGGCGTTTAAGTAACGCACAATAATAAAACAAATAAAATCATAGCCGTAAAAAACCAAACATTAAAATATTTGTATATAAGAATAAATGAATACAATGAATATATACACATGCTCTTATATAAGTGAACACATATATGTATATTTAACATAAACAAAAAAAAAAAAAAACAGCGAAGAGAAGAGAAGAGAAGAGAAGAGAAGAAAAGAAAATAAGAAAAAAAAAAAAAAAAAACAAAAATAATAATAAAAAAAAAACACATTGGCAAACTCATTAAAATGTAACATGTAACGGGCTGAACCAACATTTACCACTACACTTCACTCAATTGCCGGTATTTTTCTGTTATGTAAGTAGTCTGCCTACACATATACGCATATGTGCGCACTCGAAGAGAGGATGAAGCTTACAGTCTGCCATTGCAAGCGGTATTTACATATGCAAGCATAACAAAACATATATAAAATGTTGATAATAAATCACATGAGTAAGAGTACTCACACGCACTTAAGTGTCTGTTTATATGTATATGTATACAAAAAATCCATATGAATTCTATTTACGTGCGCATACCTGGCGATATGTGCAGAGGAGCTATGTACGTATATGAAAAATTCATTGAATCTTTATGCCGCTACAATATGCCTCATTATATATATATATATATAGTTTTTTTACAAACTAATATCCATCCAATGCATCAGGATTCCAAGATTTTATATATGGAAATCAAAAAAAATAAGTCAAGTTTTCCTTTCACTCATTTCTTACGTTTTACTTATTGTGTTTAATTAAAATAAATAACAATTCGCTGCAATAGTTAATTAATTGTCTGAATACTGAGCATAGAAAGCACTTGCAAATATGAATATAATCTCATGTGTTGTCTAGAAGACGACAGATGCACTTTGCCTTTTTTTTATTAGTCTTGGTAAAATTACAAAAACTGAGAAGTTAGCCGCGTAAGTTATGCAAAAATAAATTTACCCTACAAATTTAAAGCAAGTATGAATAAAAAAGAAAATTCCATATATATTCCGTATATGCAGTCCCAATACTGATACCTTAAAATTGTTACACGTTTTCTATCACTCTACATCACTTATGGTGCAAGGGCATATTCAGTTTGCGCGGATATATGTAGCATCCAGATAGATTCATCTTTTATTGCAATTCACTTTTTGATTCTTAGCTTGTCTGTCCGCCTGTCTATCTGGTCTGTTGGTTTTTCGTGTTCAAACCGCAGGCGACAGTTATTGCAGCGAAGTTTTTTTTTTTTGTTCCGTCTCAGAGACGAACGCCTCGCGTCGCATCAATTTTTTCAATTGTATCTCAATGTTGGAAAAGTTGTTATATGAATAAGCAAAGTGTGTTTTAAGCGAATTAATGTAACGTGTTTAGTACGGGGGCGTAATATTTTAATTCGTTTCTCATTAAAATTAAGATAAATTCATTGATCTCATTGATGTGTTGAGCAACAGCTCTCACTTTTTTCGAATTCATTATATCGAATATTTTATTGATCTATTTACAATAGTCAATGGGCGAGTAGTTGCTCAATATTGCTCTTAAGCATATTTTCAAAATTTGTTGATTTTCAGAAAATTTATAACGCGATCACGTTTGTATGATAAAATGAAAAACAGAAAAGAAGAAAATGAATTTACATGTAAGTGTGTAAGGCGTGCGTAAGCCAGTGTATAGAAAGAAAAGAGAAAAAAGCTATAAAAATGAACCTTAAAAATATTTGATTAAAAAATCTTGAAACAATGCTTTATGTATGACATTTAAATGTTGATAATTAATTGAATAAAAAATGTAAAAATGTTTCATGTCAAACGATTATTAGTGTTGTGTTCGTTGTCTTGTGTTTCTTAATATTAATTAATATATTTTCCGCGTACCATAGGGAAATAGGAAAATTTATGAATTTTTAAAGCAGTTTTTTAAGTTAATCGTATTTTGCTATATTATTTACGTGTTTATACATATACACATATATATATTAAAAGAATAAAATACATACATATATAAATATATATATATGTATATATATATATATACAGAAATATATAAAGAAATTTGTATCGTTTGCGCGCAATCGGTTCGATAATATTTCGAGAATGTTTCGAGAAAATCTTTGGCGGCTGACGGATGAAGCACGTCGAGAAACTAATAAAAGGAATTTATTTTTCTTGAAAACGGTTTTAAATCAAAACTCAAGTGTCAAGGCCATTCGCGATCATGAAATACTTTTGACAACTGAGAATGCTGATAGCGTGCGCAGGCAGCATGATCTTGATATTTGCACTGAATTGAACGGTCTCGAACATGAACGCTTTTTACGAGAACGCGAGAGAATTAGACAGCAACGCAACGAAGTTGAAATACGTCAATTATTGGCGCAAATAAAGCACGCCCATTTGCAGAAAACGTCGAATGATCAACGAATCGCAAATCAAAAAATGCGAGAGCATGAAAGTCAAGCTTATCGTGACGAGATTCTCCGTTGCCGGGAAGAGTTTCGCAAATACGAGGAATTTCTAAAAGAAGCCGAATTGCAGGAAAAATTAAAAAAGTCAGCGTTACGTCAACAACTGTTAGAGCAGATAAAGCGAAAGGAATTGGCGCGACGGCTCGAGATGGAGGAAATTATGAAAGAACGCGAGAAACGATTAAAGGATATTGAAAAACTTAAACGAGATGACGCGGAAGCGAGACGACAAATAGATCAATATGCTAAAGATTGCGGTCAACATCTTAAAGAGTTTTTAGAGCGTAGGGCTCTACAAAAAATGCAAGCTAAACTTGATGACGTTGAAACGAATCGACGTTATTTGAAATTATTGCGCGATAAAGAAGAAGAGAAGCAATTAATCAGAGATGAAAGAAAAAAAAAATTAATAGAACGTTCTGCGATTAGCGAGCGACTTGGTCAGCATGTATATGAATTGGAAATGGAGAAAATTCAACGCAATGAATTACTGTTCAACTTACATATTGAAGAAAGTAAAATTAAAGAAGATCGGCAATCGCAAGCGGCACGGGAAAAAGAACAGCAACAAATGATAGCTTTACGTCAGGAAATGCAACGTGCACGCTTCGAACGGGCTGAGCAGCAAGACGCGCAAAAAAGGCGAGAACAATTTATTGCTATTAATCATTTAAAACGCTACGCCGAAATTGAAGAACGCGAGAAAGAACAAAAAGAGCAGCAGCGGCGTGAGCGCCTAGAATTCGATAAGGATTTATGCAACATAATTAAGGTAAGACAAGAAAAGCAAGCTGAAATCGCTCAGGAAAATAAGCTCGAATATATACGTATTGTCGATAACGAACGTCAACGCCTTGAAAACATTGCCAAGGAACGCATCGCCTTGTTACAAGCTGAGCCAAGAGAGGTATTACAATTTATACCATCTGGCGCTTTATACAAAGAGGAACGCAGAATTCTAAATATATAAAATAGTTAAAATATTTAAAAAAAAAAAAAAAAAAAATAGATTAAACATTATTAGGCAACTTAAAATTCAAAAAAAAAAGAAAAGCAAAAATGATAAAAATGAAAATCTTTAAGAAAATCTCATAAGCGAATATAACTTTTTCTCATTCAATTAAGAAACAGAAGAGAAAAGGATTCGCCTATGAGGAGAGAAACTGATACGAAATTTTCTCATTCGACGCTCAATATCGATATGATTCGAATGAGAGAATTTGGTTTCGGATTTTTAAAAATTAATCGAATTTGTACATACATATATATATACTAAATAAATATTGTCGCGATTTATTTTTGTTAATATAAGAAACTTAATATACATGAGAGAGAACAAGATTTTTTCATTTTCCTTCATTTGTGTGATTAGATCTTACTCACTTCCCTTCGTTGTTTACACGCCTCACTATCACTAATCACTATGTCTGCATACATATTTATACTGGGCAATGCTTCATTCGCAGGCCTTCTAATACTATCGGCCAATTGATCCGGCTTCATAATCATTAAAATAATTTAATTTTTTAGAATAAATCAAGACTAGTCTCTTCAGTCTATTTTTCTCGTACAACTCAATAGGGCATCGAAGTTGTCCAAAACCGATTTATTCACTATTGTGCATAAAAACTGCGGTATAACTTGGGTGTTCTCGAAATGGGAAAAAAATCAACAATCAAGATTTGTTATGGGCTCACCCAACTAGCAACTGCTTGCAAGTCGTAAAAAGATGTTGCAAGGAAAAAACTGAATCAGATGATCAGAGACATCTTAGCGGAAATTGTAAGATTCTGACAAACTGATCTTTTGTAAAAGTCATCGATACGTTAGGTTGGCGTTGAATTACTGATTTGCATTACTCTTGAGGAAGATACCGTTAAGGAAAGTAAAAAAGGAAAATTTCAAAGAAAAATATTTTTCCCCTTATGAGGAATTATGAGTCGTCTTAGCTGGAGTCTTTGATATCCTTTTTGATCTTGTAATTCGTGTAATTTGTTTGCATTTGTGTAACATACCCAACTGCTTATGCGAATCAGGTTAAAGATTCGCCCTACGACTATTTGTTTCAGTTAATGGTGTGTCGCGTAGCAGGTTTGGATCATCACAAAAAAAAAAAACGGGATTTTTTAAAAAAGTTTTTTTTTTTTTTTTTTTTTTTGTTCCTGTTGACGATAGTTATTTTTCTAAATTAAAATTGGTACGACTATCCCGCAGCAATATCTTACTGCTTTTATTGGAAACAGACGTCAACATGTACAACAAGTATTTCCTTACTTTCTTGCTCGGAGCAGCTTTCGTTGTCTTTTATTGACGGACATAATACATGCTTCAGTTAATACGATGGCCAATAACTTGTCTACTACTTTTGTTATCCCATACTGGACGTGTAATAGAATAATATAACCCGCTAATAACATTGCTTGAAAGGCGGTAAATTGAATTTTTTAAGTAAATTATTCTACAGGAGTGTTAAACGTTTTAATTAAGCGACGTGTAACACTAAGTTTTTCTCAAGGCCAACCATTTCAAGCACAATAATTGTCTTGAAATCTGATGAAGATCCAGATAGTGCGTGTGTGTATGTATATTGGGACAAAAGCAATCTCTTTGATATCCTGGCAATATGGTTACATAACTGGTTAATGTAATTTAAAATAATAATAAAAAAAAATAAAAGATTGATGTGATGAAGTTTTTTAGACTTTCGTTGACAACCACCTAATGTTCTTGCATTACATAAGTCTAAAAATACTGACAGTATGTCAGTGGAAGAATGAAGTAATGAATCATGAGAATTAAATAATGTTGTTTTGCATTAAGAAATAACCTAAGCGTGCTACATATTTGATTGTGTGTTTGAACACACACACACACACACACACGCACATACACGATTACTTTCGACATTGTCTACATAGATTTCGTATTGATTTTGACACCATTTGTTCACACTGTGCCTCCGATTCAATGATGGGAGACCTAGAACTGATGCTCTTATTAGGGAATAAATTGCTCCAAAGAGCTGTCTATAGTGGGATTGCTCTCTCTTTGCAGTTGCTTGAAGTAGGCCTATGAATCCATAATACTTGCGCTGAGTAGGTCTGAACGCGTTATCGGTGTAGGTCGGGGATCATGATAAGATCACGATGATCTAATATGAAATATGTCTCAGGCAATTCTAGCTATGTGTCAGTTAACAACGGTTCGAATAGATTTGCCATCAGATGTGTGAGAGAGTTTACTTGATTGCAAGTCTTACCTTAGTGACCTTAGGCTTTTAATGCGCTTTCTCTCTTTTTTAGATATAACAAAAAGAAATAAATAAATAAAAAAAACGCATTCGCACACACGTGTACCCACGCACATTTATAAAAAGTAATATATGTATATACATGTAGACATTGTAGATGTTATGCTCTGTTTATTTGCATGCAGTTTTAATGCAGTTTTAAATTTCATAATCTTCACACGAGATTAAATGTCAATAGACAGAAAACAGAAACCAAAAACGAAAAAAAAGAAAAAAAAAAAACAAAATAAAAATTAAACTTCTTGCGCATACCTAAGAAACAATAAAGTTATTTTGCAATCACTTCGTTTTTTCTTTATACAAGTTTGTTGCTTTGTTGTTGAAAAAAGTATTAAATAATCCAGTTACACCCAATTTAAATTTATATAAATGATAAAACTCTAGCATATATAAGAGCCGTAGTGTAGTAATAGGCCCCGCCCAACGGGCTAGAGAATAAATGTGCTGTCATTCAAAATATTTTAATGATTATACACAAACGCACTCACTAACAAACACACACACACACACACACACACACACGCAGACGTATATACGTAACAGATAAAAAGGTAAAAAGAAAAGAGTTGTTGTCTGTGCAAACGCCTTCTTATTCTCCTTGAATGTGCACCAAATTTATCTTACTGTTTAAAATATACAAACATATTATTGTATACTATGTGCACACAAACGCAAACACACACACACACACACACATACATACACACATACATACATACACACATACATACATATGTACATAACACCAAACACTACGATACGTATATATGTAAATGTTTATATGCATGTGCGTATGTATTCTGGTAAATATGTCGTTCATTTCGCTGCAGTTAGGTGAAATGCAAGACTTTAAGAAAAGAAAAAAAAAAAGAAAAAAATAAATAAATAAATAAATGAAAAAAAAAAAAAAAAATAAGGAAAAAGCGATGGTCTTTATAGTTATAGACCTTCTGAAACTAGCTGGAGTCGAAACAGAGTCAGTTAGTTAGCAAGCCAACCACCCAGCCTTAACACCTTAATTTTGAAGTAATTTATTTAAATGTTGCTCTATAAAATAAATGTGACTCCTCGCAAGCACAAGCAATGCATCACATGTACACTGTATACAGACACATATATGGATATGTATACACATAGATACACGTATCCATACTAATATATACATGACGGGAAACGAACACATCCATTGTCTACTGTTTTCAATGTTGTTTCCAACAATTGTTGTTGCTTTTGCTGCTGCTGCTGCTTTGGCATTTAATTTATGCTGCTTGTGCTGGATGACTGGCTTATACACTCATATACTCATATATATATATATATATATATATATACATGTGCATCTAACACATTTAAATGTCAAATGACCAATTTGTTATCATTGTCAGACATTGTGCTCTTCTAACCTGGGCCTGGCCTATAGGCTTCACTATTTAACTAACATCAGCACATATTGTGGCAGCCTACTCTGAAAAATACTAGTTACTTCTATGGTTTGATGCTTTTTATTATACGTCTGGTAAATGCTTGGCATGCAAGCATAAATAAATAAATATGCATATCTTTATATAACAATTTCTCATAACCATTCTGACAACTCGGCTAGTTCTCGACGCTGCTATATTTTCATAAATGCATCTATATGTCTTTGTATATGTGTTAAACAAATTCTCGTTATAAATTGCTTCCGTGAAAGATGCTTTTAAAAATGATTTTCTCCTTTAAAAGAGACAAACTTGCTATGTACACTCACTTACATGTATAATTAAAATAAAAGATTCAAGTCGATCATGTAGATGAAAATTTCATCAACAACAAAAAACAAAAAAACAAAAAATTGGTTTTTATAAAAACTTTTGGAAAAATCGTTGCATGGAAAAGTTCTTCACGTTCTACTCTAAAAACGGTATCATATTGAAGTTAATGTATTAGAGATTTGCTTTAACCTTCACGCCCATTTCACAATGTTTGCCTACTTTTTTCGCTTATGCGTTCCTCTATTGGCCTTGCGATATTTAAGACCTTATCAGCCTTTAAGCTCCTTGGGAGCAAATATTTTTTGATTTTAATTGTCTCTGCAATTTCATATAGATGATGAGTTATATGTTCCAGGTGTGGCGTGTCAATACGATATTATTCTTTTCTTTCACATTGTTCGTAATGCGAACGGTAAAATTGTCCAATCGATTGCTACTTTTGTACCAGAAAATCAGAAAAATAAATCCAATATGCTGATATTTCCCTTTCCTTATTATACCCATCCATCGCCGAAGGATCATGAATGTATATATTTTGCATAATATTTGCAACTGGTCGAAGAAAACTTCAGAGACCCAACAAAGTATACATACTCTTGATCAGGATCAAATTCTAGATCGATTTAAGCATGTCCGTCTATACGTCCGTGTAATGTCTATTGCAAATGTTATCCTGCCCACGCAAAACTCAAGCCTTAAATTTGGCAAACACATTGGAAGTTCTTGTATCTAAGTTGATATTAAAAATAGGAGAAATCGGTTGAAGTGAACTCCTATAGTATTACGTAACCTGAGAATTGCGATTTCTAAAGGTATAAAAAATTGGTTATTTGCTCATCACTCATAAACTGTAGCAGATGAACCTACAAAAATTAAAAACGAATGTGTTCAGGGCGATACTGTACC